TATATATATATATATATATATATATATATATACACATACAGTGGGTATGTGTGTGTATATACATACAAACAGACACATATATGTCTGTTAAAATGTCTTATCAAATTAATCATAGGGTAGCTGAGGATGAATCATGATCTGGCTATTTTTCGGTATACTTGCGGAACAGATAACAATAGGATGTCAATGTTTTACACCTTTTTTTAGTTGTGAGTAATCAAAATGATATTACTGCACGAAGAAAAGTCAAGAAATATATAATATATAATACACAACATACACTGGGTCAGTCATTACTGTGCCTCTTGATGATGGCTTGTTGAACCCGTTGCGGGTTGCTTTCAAATATTTTGGCGACGACCATGTCCACAACAATATTAAGCAGTCTACAGTCCATTTGAAATTTGTGTCAGTCAGCTTGTCAGATGTATACTTACTTACTACCCTATCTCAATGAGGCCAGTCAGCAGTGTGTGTGTAAATAACAGTTGTGTCGACAGTGCATTTAGATCAACGATAAATGGACCCATGAAGGAATTAATGCATATACAGTGCACCTCATTCTGCCCGTGCATTATAAATATGAGAAATTTTGACAAAATCATTAAGCGTTAATTTTGACACCCCTCGCCCCTGTAGAAAAATAATTAGAGATGACTCACTTTTGCCACAAATGTTCCTCCAGGTTTCAGAATATGAGTAGTAATATTCAGGGCCTGAAACATACACAGTTGTCAACAAAAAAAAAATCCCAATTAGCAAGTAACTCCATCTGCTCACTCACTACTTACAGCTAGCAGAAGCTGAGCCTGAATGTACTCGTCTACATCATGGAGACCAGTTACTGTGGACATGAAAACAAAAGGAAAAAGCTCATAGAAAGAAAGATAAACAATTGAATATGCAAACATGAAGATATATTAAGTTAGCTACTGTATGTACCATCCGGGGCTCCATCACAAACCACAAGGTCAGCTGGCTCTCCCTCAAAGTGACGAATAATCTCCTGAGCTGTCGACACCTAATAAGAAGAGAATTTGAATTAGAATATATCAAAAGTATTGCTGCTAGTGCTTCAAAATCAGACAGACTATTACTGACTACTGGATACCGTTGCTGTACCTTAAGTAATAATACATGTTTAAACAATAAAATAAAAATTGTAAACAATTTGGTTTATCAATTACCACCGTTGAGGTCAGTGTAGTACTCTACATACTTCAAACGTGTAGAAGTTTAAAGATTGCTAGGTTTTTCTCACCCATTGGTACTTAAAAATGATTATGATTATTTTTAAGAGGAAAAAAAAATATCTAGGAGATTTCATTGTAAATCTCGTGTCAGTGAGGTATGCAGGCAAAAGTAACATGCCACAGATTTTTTTTTTTTGATAAATAAAAACATCCTTACCTTGGTTATGTCTCCTTGGATCTGAGTGACACCTGGCAGCGGAGCCATGGCTTGCAGGTCCACTGCTACAATCTTTACTCCCGTTATCTTCTCCTCCTGACATCTTCATGAAGAAAAAAATAATTAGCCTCACAAAATTTGAAACAAGTTAAAATTTAATTGTATATGAACAATGAACTCTAGTCCAGCTAAAGAAAAATATGTAAAACAAAAAATACACCTGAGCTTTCGGCTGAGAACCTGACTCCAGCTTCCAGGGGCTGCACAGAGATCGACTGCTTTGGTCACACCTATGACAAAAAAAAAAAATCTTGTTTTAATCACATAAAGTAAAATGACTTATTTGTATAGGTAAGTAGTACTGCTTGGTGGTACAAAATCTAAAGCTGTTATATAAACTCAAGCAGGGATGTCCCATAATATCGGCCAACCGATATTATTGGTCTGATTTAAGAATAATTAGGTAACATCAGTAAGAATCGTTATTCATTTTTTCTCCGATAATGAAAACCCGAAAACGCAGTGCCTGGGTTTCGCCAGATGATGGTGTACAGTAAACCCTTGTTTTTCGCGGGGGTTACGTTCCAAAAAGAACCCGTGATAGGCAAAATCCGTGAAGTAGAAATCTTTTTTTTTTTTTTTACAATTAAATACTCAGAAAATGAAGAGAAAGAACGAACAAACCATTTTACAGTCTCAACCATTTGTTTCACAAATAAAGTAAAATAAAAGTACTTTAGAAACGTTTCAACAAATAACTTCTGTAATGTACTGTCAAATAATAATTTTAATCATCAACGTGAACAGAAGGCTTCAAATTGCGGAGATTAGCACCGCCCACCGTGAACGGGAGAAAATTAAAAATGATTATGAAAAAAATACAAATTACCTGTACAGTCGGACAAATAGTGACTCAGCTTTATTTCACTGCTGTCTTCCTTATGTTTTTTTCTTCCTTCTTTATGGAACGAACGGAAGATTCATTAATTCCATAATGCCGACCTACAGCCGCATAGCTTTTACCTTCATTTAGCATGTCCAATAGTTTTACTTTATCACCGATAGACAGCATCTTCCGCTGCCTTTTGGTCCCTACCGCAGGTACTTTTGCCGGTCCAGAGCGTTTTGTCGACATTATGGGGTTTGATAAACTCGAAATTGCAAGAGAATTTGCACGTACGTAATGTCAATTTGGCAAGCTGTTTTACGTACGTGTACATATTAAACCGCAACGTTATTGGCGCACAGGTAGAGAAGAAGCGGAGTGACTTTTTAGCCAATCAGAATGCAGAACACAATGCACGATGCAAATCCGTGAAGTAGCGAAACCGTGAAAAGTAAACCGCGTTATAGCAAGGGATCACTGTATATGAAAGTGAAAATAAATTATTGTCAATCACTTAACTTCCTTAACCACCAGGACACCACTGCCTCACTGTATCGGTATCGGTTAACACCGGAATCGGAAAGTGTTTGGACAATATGGAAACATTTTAGTTTTTTAACAACAGGTCTTAAATATTTTTAGAATTGACTGTCATTTGAACATTAATTACATAAATCATGAGTTTGATTTTCATGGGAACAAAAAGTAACAGTTTCAGGTAGTGGTCTATATCTAAAGGTATAGGTATAGGTCTATATTTAAAGGTATCTCATACCTTTAAACAGGGAGTACTCTTGGTCAAGCTGTAGCAGTTTGTAAGCACTTCTGGCTCTCCAGCCCTCCTCTTTTGCCAGACGATAGTAAATGTCTCGCTTGTCTTTGGAGGAACGACCCATCCTGGTGACTTTAAAGGAGAAGAAATGTATATAATTAATGTAAATTGCGACACGTATTCGAACAGGAAAACGGGCGATTCCAATTTACAGTGCCTAGGACACGAATGCATAGCTCTCACGTGAATCTAGGTTTTTTTCTGTATTAGTCAAACGTGGTCTGTAAGAAAATAATGTGGAGAGACTGTGACAGACGGACTGCAGTTGTGTAGTACAGAGCAGAAACAGACATTTTAGAAACTGAACTTACGGCTTGTAGCGTGTAGTAGCCTGCTGAGAAGAACGGAAGGACCCTAAGCTGTTTCCGTAATGCCAGTTCAAAACTAAATTGAAAAGAATTAAAACGTTCACAGAAATAACCAAATTCTATTTATTCTTTTAAATACATTTACAAATAGGTTAAAAAATAGTCAAATGTTTTTTGTGGTGTGTCTTTAACACACAATTGCATTGAGTAAATAATAAAACGAAAAACATCAAGCAGAGTCGATGGCACTCACTTAATGTGTTATCTTTTCAAGTTTCAAAGTATATTTTTGTAAAGGCAAACACTATCGCCTACTAAATCAACCGGATAGCTATTTTTCTGAGCAATTGTACGTAAAAGCAAAATGTTCACAACAGCAAGAACAATAGCGAGTTTTTTTTTTTTGACCTAAATAATGTACGTGGCCAATATCGGCGCTATCGTGTGTGTTTGTGACTAAAAGGGGATGCATTGGGGAGCCACTAAGTCTTAATTTAACAAATCTACTGTTAAATTCTGTTGTGTCGCAATTTAAAACAAAAGCAGTTCATTTCTAAAAAAAAAAAATTAATTTAACAAAAGATTTACTTTTAGATATCTGTGGGTTTACTTACTACTTTATTCTAAATATTTTGCCACTCTCCATTAACGGTCTACAAAATTAATTTAAGTAGATTTAGAGTTTGTGTTAAAAAAACGTTTTTTACAGGCTGACTTAAGACTTTTGGAATATTTAATAATTTGCACCTTAAAAAATAATCAAGTATTAAGTAATAAGTAGTAAGTAGAGTATCTGTGGAATATCATTTTATTTGATTAGCTTAATTTACATGGATAATTCATTAAGACAAACTACACTCGGTTACACTTTATTCCTTCAGTCTGATGCTGTTCCGGATTATTTTTGGCGGTACTTGTTTTTGTCTTTTTCTCTATTAGGTGTTGTTTGACAACTCGTAGCTATTTAGACATTAGAACATTGGCGTGTTCTGCGGTGTTTCGGCACATCACAGTTCAGATGTCAATTGTTCATCATCATCTGGGTTGTCTGGTGAATCCTCCATTTTTACCCCAACTCCACTGTCCATATCTGTATCGTCTGGATCTATGTCGGTGGTTTCAATTGCATTGTCGTCCTTTGTGCTGTCTGGGATGATCACCACTTCGTCTTTAGCATCGGGGTCAATGTCCTCCTTGAACCAAACTGCCTTGTATCCTTCATCCATTCTTCTGTCTCTGGTCAGAATGGACTTCACTTCCTTCTCATTGTCAGCCTTGTCTATGTCAGTCTGGTTTACATAGTCAGGATCTACGGGGGGCGTTGCAGGTGGAGGCTTGACGGCAGCCTCCCTCAGGAGGACCTCCTTCCCTATCTTTCTGTCTGCTTTTTCCGTTTCCAAGTTTGTGTATGTGCGGTCCATCGATTGATTATCTTCGTTGCTTTGAAACACCTTATTGGTGTATTGGATGCCCTCTTTTTTCCCATCAGAACTTTGACCGAGCTGTGAAAGGTCGAGATAGAACAAAAAAAGAAGGAAACAATATTAATAATGAAAAAAGATAGCTTGCCTGTTTACTCTTTACTGTTTTGGTATAATTGTAACTAAATTATGCTTTGATATTTGAAAATATCGGGAAAAACATTGAGAAAATAAATTGCTGTATAATTGGACAGAAGTGAAAATAATTAATATTTATAGTATTAAAATACATTTTATTTTTCTATTTAATTATTATTTATTATTTTTGCCTGTAAGCATGTTTGTGTTAAATTTTAATCGTACAAGTTGATTTATTTTATATATTTATTTGATTTTTCTTTCATTTGCAGATTTTTTTTTTTGCCCTTTGGGCTTAAGTTTTAAAATAGTCCTGGTGTTAAATGCCTGACATCACAAAGAGGGCGCTGCATGTCTGGACTACCAGCTAGTTTCCAGTGTTGTAAGTTGCACCTGTGTACTCACAGCGCTTCGGAACTCATTGACTTTGTAGATCATTTTCCAGTCGTCCTTCGATTTCCTCGTCCGCATGACAAGAAGTCCAATTATAACCAGACAAACTAACAGCAGGATAGCCAGGGTTACACCAAGTGCTACCATGCTACCTGGCCCATAGATACCTGATGGTTGAGCTACTGCAAGGCAAGAATTACATGAAAAATAAATGCCAAAAAAAAAAAAAAAAAATCAAAAATCAAAAATCATCAAAAGAGCAAGTCTTAAAGGAAAATTAAAGATACTGTATTTAAGCAGCGTTCCCCAACCGGTCGGCTGCGGATCAGGAATACCACACCATCGTTGAAGGATCATTAAATTTTCAAAATAAAACATTTTCTAGAATAGGTGTGGCCAAACTTTGTGACTCACGGGCCACAATTGTCCTAAAATTGAACGGGGGGGGCCGGGTCAGAAGCAGATGGAGCGTTGGTGTGAACTAAGATAAATGACATGTCAAAGTCATGCATAAAGGCTAAAATGCTAAAATGCTTTTATCATGTTCTACGCCATCTATTGGGGAAACGTGGGTATTGCAGGGAAAAGGCCGAAAGTATAATGATATAAATAAATTACATTGGAACCTCGAGGTACGAGCACCTCGACATACTAGTAATTCTCCAAATTTAAATTATTCATTATAACAGTGATGAGTCCTAAGAGAGTGAGTGGTAAGGATGGTAGTGAGAAGAAGAAACGCATGATGACCATGGAAATAAAGCATGAAATTGTCGATAAATATGAGTTTGGTGCCTGCTGGAATGACAAAATTACTCCAGTGTGTCCTGGGATAGGATTATTTTTCTGTTATTTCTTATGGGAAAACGTGATTTGAAATATAGTTCCACTGCATATATTTTGGAAAATTTTGGCAGGCCAAATTAAAAAGCGGAACGGGCTGCATCCGGCCCCCGGGCCTTAGTTTGCCCAATGCCTGTTTTACACTTTAATCTGTTAGTATCTCAGTCTAAATGACCGATTTTTTAAAAACATTTGTCAGATTGTCTTTAAATAAAAAAAAAAAGTAAAGGGATATGACTGAATTCATTTGGAATGAAGTGAATTAGTAAAACTGAAGTACATTTTTTTTCAGTGTCCCACTGCAGCCCAGTACCAAATGACCAATGGACCGGTACCCTCGGGTTGCGGACCCCTGTTGTTTTCATCTTTTAGCTTTTATTGTGTCTGTTATTAGTTTAAATTACAGATGGGAAGTAGTCGCTGTATTTATCTCTACACGTCACTATGTCAAAAGAAATGATGAGATGGTTTGTTTGTTTTTTTTTCATACCTGATTTTACCTCAACTATAACCTCAGCGGAATCAAATTCATCAGTTATAGTGTCTGTTGCCACCACCTGAAAGTGTGAGGATAAAGAAAAAAAAACATAAGAAAATAACCCAGCAAAATCAAGTCTACGTAAAATGATTATAATTTTTTTTTACTCACAGATATTAAGACTTCACCGGGTGGAAGAGACTTATTCAAGAATAAGTAGCCATCAATGACGATAAAATCACTGCTCCCACTAATGGAATATTTTATGTAAGGATTGACACCCTGTTGGAACAAAGGACGTTAGGGTTACATTATAGCAACTGCTAAGAAAAGTGAATGAAATACTTTATTTAACCGCAGCTAACCGAGCTAAATTAGCACAGGAGCGGTAAGCATGTCTGTCTTGCAAGCAGAGTCCTGAGTTTGATTTCCAGAGAAACCTCATGATTGGTGCCCCCTTAGGGGCAACCTGTTGCAAATCTGCTGTAAACACAAGAAATTCCGAAAAATGGACTCAATGATTATTATTATTATTATTATTATTATTATTGCACAAACAAGAGATGGATTTAAAAAGGTGTCTCTATCGAGGATATTTAATTCTGGTCTACATAATTTCTAAGTGTGTTTTTATATTTCATTTACAAACTATTAATTCATAATTATATGTAAAACAACTTTATTGATTTTTTTTCCCACACTAGAGAAATTGTTGTGTTCTGCTGCAACACGCCTGCCCTGGGTGGTGCCAAGTATGAGGTTCCTCTGGGGCTCGAACCCAGGACCTTCTGTGTGTAAGGCAGATGTGTAAGCAGGAGCGATAAGTATGGAGCCATTATTATGTACATTGGGGGCGGTCAATCTCATTTTGGTTCAGGGGCCACATACAGCCTAAATTAGATGTCCAGTGGGCCGGACCAGTACAATCATTATCGCCTTTGTTTTCATGCAAATAAATACAAATATTTTGTAAAAAAAAAAAAAAATCAATGAAATTGAAAACATCACTAACAAAGTTTTAGTGATGTGCATTTTTTTTTTCTTTTACCAGTCATCAAGCGGGCCATATTGAACCCACGAGCGGGCCGATTTGGCCCGCGGGCTGTATGTGTGACACCCCTGATGTATATAATCATAATAATAATAATAATGTATCATGGACTAAAATACAAAACTTAAATGATCATACACAGATTCCACTGCTCCATAATTAGTTCTGCCAAACTGTTAAAGTGCTCTGTGGAACCCCCCGTGTTTTACCTCAGGATAGTCTTCATCTCGAACACTGAAGCGCAGTGGTCCTTGTTCCGTCACAGCCGTGGAACCTACAGCAGACACGACGCCTCTGTAGAGCTCTTGGTCAAAGATCGGAGGGTGGAGGCTCACCAGGTGAACACTGACTGTGACCGTGGTGATCGCAAACTGGTTCATGTTGTTCTTCTGAGCAGCCTGGCAAACAAATCGCAAACAGATAACATGGTGTATTTTCGATCGCTCTTTACTATGGAGATTACATTGTGGAGTATACGGTAAAAACATAAAATGATAAAAGCACTCCTGGCTGCATTGGACAGATATTCACTGCCCTTCCTGAAAGTAATGTCAATGTATGGTCATTTCCAATTCAGTGGACTTTTTAAAGGGCCAATTACAGTATTTTCTGGAGTATAAGTCGCACTAAGTTGCACCAGTCAAAAAATGCATAATGAAGAAAAAGAGAAAAAAAAACAAAAAAACAGCCAGCTAGAGTGCCCCTTAGTGGCTGTCAGTGTAAAAAGAACAAAAATAACAAACACCGCAGACGATGATGGATGGATGGATGGATGAAATTATATATTTTAAGATTGTACTGTATGTCACACATGAGTATAAGTCTATAAAAACATGACTTATAGTCCAGAATATCTTCTTCTTTTTCTTTCGGCTTTGTCCCTTTTTCGGGGGTTGCCACAGCAGATCATTGATTTCCATCTGTCCCTGTTCTCTGCATCTTCTACTCTGACTCCAACTATCTGCATGTCCTCCCTCACTGCATCCATATATCTCCTCTTTGTCTCCTACCTGGTAGCTCCATCTCTAACATTCTTCTACCAATGTGTCCACTGTCCCTCCTCTGCACATGTCCAAACCATCTCAATCTGGTTTATAGTCCAGAATATACAGTATTTAATTCTTGGCTGATAATTTGCTTTTCTAACTACCCTCAAAATAAGCTGTTTCCTTATTTTGAGGGTAGTAGTTTGTAGGACACATAACAGGGGGTCCTTGGTTTACGACATCTTCGACATGTGGCGGTTACGTTGCCTTCTAGCACGGCGACAAGTTAAACTTTCGGACATTATTGGAATGGATATTTTAAAAAAAATATCAATTTTTACCACCACTTCCAGGTTAATTGTCTGCAAACTGCCGGCAGGCTTCAGCATGCTGATATTCCCCGTGACTGCATCGATCTCAAACAGTTCATCAGTTCCTAAAGCAAAGACAGATTTTTTTTTTTCAGAGCTCTAATGAAAAGGACATCAGGGACTCTATAATTACTATAATTACAAGAGCATTTCAGAACACATTACATTGTTATAGGCAATAGTAGAGTTAGGCGTGGGCCATCTCAAATGATTACCTTTCAAAAATGAGTACATTATCTCATCATTTATCCCAGAGTCGCCATCAATGGCATGAAGTGGCCCTGGTTTCAGAGGAAACACCCCAGGCTGCAAAAGACAAACACATTTATAGTCATTTATATATGTATGTATATATATATATATATATATATATATATATATATATATATATATATATGTGTGTGTATATATA